TTTTTACATACTGTGTGACAATATGCGAGCTCGCCCTTTGATTTTTTTATTGCTGGATCTGGTCCCACAAGCCCTTGCCGGCTTTGACCAGGTCCGAAGCTGAACTTGGTAATTCTTCTCTCATGAATAAATATTATTATTATTATTATTTCTTGTGTAACTTTCTTCTCTTCTTTTATTTTTACATACTGTGTGACAATATGCGAGCTCGCCCTTTGATTCTTCTCTTGCTGGATCTGGTGCCAGAATCCCTTGCCGGCTTTGACCAGGTCCGAAGCTGAACTTGGTAATTCTTCTCTCATAAATAAATATTATTATTATTATTATTTCTTGTGTAATTTTCTTCTCTTCTTTTATTTTTACATACTGTGTGACAATGTGCGAGCTCGCCCTTTGATCCTTCTCTTGCTGGATCTGGTCCCACAAGCCCTTACCGGCTTTGACCAGGTCCAAAGCTGAACTTGGTAATTCTTCTCTCATGAATAAATATTACTATTATTATTATTTCTTGTGTAATTTTCTTCTCCTCTTTTATTTTTACATACTGTGTGACAATATGCGAGCTCGCCCTTTGATTCTTCTCTTGCTGGATCTCGTCCCACAATCCCTTGCCGGCTTTGACCAGGTCCGAAGCTGAACTTGGTAATTCTTCGCTCATGAATAAATATTATTATTATTATTTCTTGTGTAATTTTCTTCTCTTCTTTTATTTTTACATACTGTGTGACAATATGCGAGCTCGCACTTTGATTCTTCTCTTGCTGGATCTGGTCCCACAAGCCCTTGCCGGCTTCGACCAGGTCCGAAGCTGAACTTGGTAATTCTTCTCTCATGAATAAATATTATTATTATTATTATTTCTTGTGTAATTTTCTTCTCTTCTTTTTTTCACATACTGTGTGACAATATGCGTGCTCGCCCTTTGATTCTTCTCTTGCTGGATCTGGTCCCACAATCCCTTGCCGGCTTTGACCAGGTCCAAAGCTGAACTTGGTAATTCTTCTCTCATGAATAAATATTATTAATATTATTATTTCTTGTGTAATTTTCTTCTCTTCTTTTATTTTTACATACTGTGTGACAATATGCGAGCTCGCCCTTTGATTCTTCTCTTGCTGGATCTGGTCCCACAATCCCTTGCCGGCTTTGACCAGGTCCGAAGCTGAACTTGGTAATTCTTCTCTCATGAATAAATATTATTATTATTATTATTTCTTGTGTAATTTTCTTCTCTTCTTTTATTTTTACATACTGTGTGACAATATGCGAGCTCGCCCTTTGATTCTTCTCTTGCTGGATCTGGTCCCACAATCCCTTACCGGCTTTGACCAGATCCGAAGCTGAACTTGGTAATTTTTCTCTCATGAATAAATATTATTATTATTATTATTTCTTGTGTAATTTTCTTCTCTTCTTTTATTTTTACATACTCTGTGACAATATGCGAGCTCGCCCTTTGATTCTTCTCTTGCTGGATCTGGTCCCTCAAGCCCTTGCCGGCTTTGACCAGGTCCGAAGCTGAAGTTGGTAATTCTTCTCTCATGAATAAATATTATTATTATTATTATTTCTTGTGTAATTTTCTTCTCTTCTTTTATTTTTACATGCTGTGTGACAAAATGCGAGCTCGTCCTTTGATTCTTCTCTTGCTGGATCTGGTCCCACAATCCCTTGCCGGCTTTGACCAGGTCCGAAGCTGAACTTGGTAATTCTTCTCTCATGAATAAATATTATTATTATTATTATTTCTTGTGTAATTTTCTTCTCTTCTTTTATTTTTACATACTGTGTGACAATATACGAGCTCGCCCTTTGATTCTTCTCTTGCTGGATCTGGTCCCACAATCCCTTGCCGGCTTTGACCAGGTCCGAAGCTGAACTTGGTAATTCTTCTCTCATGAATAAATATTATTATTATTATTATTTCTTGTGTACTTTTCTTCTCTTCTTTTATTTTTACATACTGTGTGACAATATGCGAGCTCGCCCTTTGATTCTTCTCTTGCTGGATCTGGTCCCACAATCCCTTGCCGGCTTTGACCAGGTCCGAAGCTGAACTTGGTAATTCTTCTCTCATGAATAAATATTGTAGCGTTTACCGCTTACAAGGTGTTCATTTACTGGACGTCCGCTTGCTTTGCTCGTAGGCTTCCAACTGGCGCGAGCACTCCGTGTTGTTCTCCTCGTTGTCTTCTTTTCCGCGACCTCAGCTTCGCTACATTATCCCCCTCCCGTCTTCTGGAATTTTATCCAATTTTAACGAAGTCCTTCATACAACGACAGTCGATCACGGTGAACCACGAGAGCGCGGGATCGATCGTTTTGACGTATGCGATAGACCACGTCACTGAGCCGTTTCACGATTGTAAAAGGTCCTTGCCAGTGACGCTGCAGCTTTGGGGACAGTCCTCGTTTCCGAACCGGGTTATACAACCATACCCTGTCGTCTGGTGAAAAAGGGCGTGATGTGACGTGTGCGTCATACTGGCTCTTCATGCGAGCGAGGCCGCTTGACAGCCGTTGTCGTGCAAATGCGTGCATTCGCTCGAGGTTTGTTCTCAGTTTGCTCACGAAAGACACAGGGTATGTGGCCGGTTCTGATGCTCGTGGGATGGTTAGTTCACAGGGCATACGAAGGTCATGGCCGAGCAGCATCATCGCTGGCGTGTAACCGGTGAGCTCGTGAGCTGCTGTACGGTATGCGTACAAGAATAGGTGCACGATGCTGTCCCAGTCATCTTGACGATCATTTACAAATATCGACAGATGTTGTAAGATGGTTCGGTTCATTCTTTCTACCAAGCCGTTTGACTGCGGGTTTAAAGGTGTGGTCCTCGTCTTGGCGATGTTGAAGATCTTGCAAACTTCTTGAAATACGTGAGATTCGAAGCTCCTGCCTTGATCCGAGTGAATGCTCAGGGGCGCCCCGTACCTGGTGATCCAATTCTTCACCAGTGCGTCAGCAATTTCAGGGGCGGTCTGGTTTGGAATTGGAATGACCTCCGGCCACTTTGTAAAGTAGTCAACAATGACTAGGAAAAACCTGTTACCAGATTTAGATCGGGGAAGTGGGCCTAGCACGTCAATGCCAACGCGCTCAAAAGGCGCCCCCGTCACATGCTCTTGAAGCGGTGCTCGCTGTTTGGCGTGAGGCCCTTTACGGGAGGCGCACATGTCGCACTGTCGACACCACTGCTTCACGTCACTGTGACACTGCAGCCAGTAGAAACGTTGGCGAATCTTCTTTATCGTGCGATTCACGCCGAAGTGTCCTCCTTCTGGACTACTGTGCAGCTGTTGAAATGCGTGGGAGCAGAGTGTGTGTGGCAGTACCAGTTGCCAGACGACAGAGCCACCCGCAGCTTACTCCCAGCGTCGATAGAGAACGTTGTCGCGAAGGTACAAAGAGTCCCATTGCACCAAGTAGCCCTTAAGGGTAGGAGATAAGCTGGATACCTCCTTGCCTTGAGGTCGTCTATTCTTCGTTTTCCATTGTATAAGCAGGCCAATGTCTGGATCGTCAAGTTGAGCTGCCCGAAGACTTTCCGGTGTCCACATTTCGTTGCCACAAGGAATTGTTTTGAGTGAGATGCAGCTGCGTTTTTCAATGCTTGTGCACTGCTTGCACGACTTCTCACCACATAGTCGACGCAAAAGGCCGTCGGCATTGGTGTGGAGTGAGCCGGAACGATGCTGTATCTCGAAGTTGTATTGGTGAAGGCGTTCCAGCCATCGGGCGACCTGTCCATCAGGGGTTTTAAAACTCAACATCCAAGTCAATGATGCTTGGTCGGTTCGGATAATGAATTTCCGTCCCAGAAGATAATGATGGAAATGGGTTATGGCCTTGATGATGGCCAAAAGTTCGCGTCGGGTGGGGCAGTAGTTGCGTTCTGGCTTCGTAAAAACCTTACTATCATACGAAATGACTCGCTCATGCCCATCTTGTTGTGATAGTCCAGCACCGGCTGCCGAGGCGCTAGCGTCGGTGTCAAGGATGAATGGTGTTGTGTCCTTTGGGAAGGCAAGAGTTGGTGGAGATGTGAGGGCCCTTTTGAGTGTCTCGAAGGCCAGTTGGCATTCTGGGGACCACACAAACGGAGCTTTCTTTTCTGTCAGGATATACAAGGGCTTGGTGATGTGGGCGAAACTAGGGACGAATCTTCGGTAGTAGGATGCCAGCCCAATGAAGCTTTGAACGTCAGCGGTGGATCTTGGGGTTGGCCACTCGGCAATAGCAGAGAGTTTCCGAGGATCTGTGGAAACTCCGTCCGTCGAAATGATGTGCCCGAGGTACTCAACCTGCTTTGTGCACAGCGAACATTTCTTTGGAGTAAGCTTTAGGTTTGCCTTTTGAAGTCGTGCAAGCACAAGCTCGAGATTCGCCAATTGATCGGAAAATGTCTTGCCCAATACCACAATGTCGTCGAGGTATACAAGACAAACTGTGCCTATGAGACCATGCAGCACAGATTCCATTAGTCTCTGGAATGTAGCCGGGGCGTTGCAGAGCCCGAATGGCATTACTCGGAATTGAAATGAGCCATGACCTGTAGTGAAGGCAGTCTTTTCTCAGTCATCCGGGTGTACGGGAACCTGCCAATATCCACTCTTAAGGTCAAGCGTAGAAAACCACTCGCTGCCTGCGAGAGCGTCCAAGATATCGTCAGTTCGAGGCAAGTGAAAGGAGTCCTTTTTGGTGACATCATTAAGTCGTCGATAATCCACGCAAAAACGTGCTGACCCGTCATTTTTCTTCACCAATGTGACTGGTGAAGACCAAGGGGAACACGCGGGTTCAATCACGCCCTGCTGTAGCATGGTCTTTATCATGTCGTTAACAGATGACTGCTGTGCAAGGGGAACTCGCCGCGGAGACTGTCGTACAGGGGTAGCCTGTCCTGTCACGATGTGGTGTGTTGCTGCTGATGACAAGCCCATATCACTGTCTCCCGTGCTGAAAAGCTTTGTAAATCTTTTAAGTAGCTGATGAAGCTTACCCGCGCAGGTTTTATCGAGGCCAACAGTCGCGCCCTCGTAGAGAAGTAACACGTGTGGGTCCAACTTGGTTGGTAATACGTGGAGACACGGACACGGGAACTCGGCATTTATTGGAAGTCCACTGTCGCAAAGAACCGTCACTGTGGCAGCACCCAGGGGAAACGAGTCGGTTCCCAAGTGCAGCAATCCGGCATTGAAGTCAAGCACACATTTGTGTGCTTTGAGAAAGTCAACGCCAAGAATGCACTGCTCCTCGACAGCCGCGACGACAACGGGCAAAGCAGCTTGAAGGCTTCCCACGGTGAAAGGCACGGTAGTGTAGCCGAGTACAGCTACCGTCTCCCCTGTTGCGGTCTGTAGAGCATAGTCACCGGAGTTTGCTGGGACAACTCGGTTTGCTTTCACTAGAACTTCTGGCCGGATTACAGAGGTTGTTGCGACGGTATCGACAAGTGCACGCACTGGTACCCCGTCTACGACGCCTTGGAGGTAGATGGAAGTCAAAGATGAAGCCAAGACGCGAGTTGACGTAATTCTTCTTGGAGCCATTGTCGTTGAGGTCCGGCTACCAGAGCCAAGATCATGGTTTCGGCACTGCGACCGCGTGTGACCTTGCTGGTGGCAATTCCAGCAAATTGGAGCTGGAGGTGTTGGCGTCTTTATAGCTGGAGTTTGCAGTTGCATGAAGGACCCTACACGCGTGGATCGAGATGCCTGTCGGGCAGCCTGTACCTCCAACGCACAAGTGTGTGCTACCCGCAGAGTCTTAGGGCTGCGAGGCGAACCGCATCCTGTACCTCAACAGAAGAGATGGCGTCGATAAATGCCATGGTAGCGACAGCCTCCACCGTGTCCTCTGGGCAGCTTGGGAACGCAAGACGTGCGAGGCGTTCAATGTCATCCGCGAGGTCGGAGATGGTCTCCAGCGCAGACTGACGACGGTTGCGAAGTTGTGCATGATGAAGGAACCGAAGCGGCCCTTCCCCAAAGCGCTCGTCCAATGCCGCGACCAAAGCCTGGTAGGATTGACGTTTTTCAGGTGCCAAATGATGCAATAGGGTCAACGCTGGTCCGGCGAGATGGGCGGCCAAGGCTTGCGCCTTTTGGGCCTCTGACCAATGGTTCGCGTCAGCGATGAGGTTGAATTGCGATATGTAGGAGGGCCAAGGAGCGGTACCGTTGTATGTGGATGGTTTCAGTCGCAGGCTCTGGCGCCCCAAGGGGGTTTGGGCTGGAGCGTCAACGACACGGGGCTCCATGGGTCAGGCAATCGGTCCTCTAGGCGCTGGAGGCGTTGGGTGAGAGATTCTGTCAATTCCCGAAAGGAAGAGGTTGCGCTTTGCAGAAGCTGACTCTCCCGCCGTGCGTAGGAGGCTTCGGCATGCTGGAGGTGGTTGGTTATAAGGGCTACGAGTTGGGAAGCTGGTGGGTCCGAGGCGGCCAGATTTCCGGCGCCGACACTTGCGGTGTGTTCACCTTGGGAAGTGGATTCCATGTTTCGGGGAAAACGTCGGCCGGAACGGAGCTCCACTTCTGACACCAAATGTAGCGTTTACCGCTTACAAGCTGTTCATTTACCGGACGTCCGCTTGCTTTGCTCGTAGGCTTCCAACTGGCGCGAGCACTCCGTGTTGTTCTCCTCGTTGTCTTCTTTTCCGCGACATCAGCTTCGCTACAATATTATTATTATTATTATTTCTTGTGTAATTTTCTTCTCTTCTCTTATTTTTACATACTGTGTGACAATATGCGAGCTCGCCCTTTGATTCTTCTCTTGCTGGATCTGGTCCCACAATCCCTTGCCGGCTTTGACCAGATCCGAAGCTGATCATGGTAATTCTTCTCTCATGAATAAATATTATTATTATTTCTTGTGCAATTTTCTTCTCTTCTTTTATTTTTACATACTGTGTGACAATATGCGAGCTCGCCCTTTGATTCTTTTCTTGCTGGATCTGGTCCCACAATCCCTTGCCGGCTTTGACCAGGTCCGAAGCTGAACTTGGTAATTCTTCTCTCATGAATAAATATTATTATTATTATTATTTCTTGTGTAATTTTCTTCTCTTCTTTTATTTTTACATACTGTGTGACAATATGCGAGCTCGCCCTTTGATTCTTCTCTTGCTGGATCTGGTCCCACAAGCCCTTGCCGGCTTTGACCAGGTCCGAAGCTGAACTTGGTAATTCTTCTCTCATGAATAAATATTATTATTATTATTATTATTTCTTGTATAATTTTCTTCTCTTCTTTTATTTTTACATACTGTGTGACAATATGCGAGCTCGCCCTTTGATTTTTCTCTTGCTGGATCTGGTCCCACAATCCCTTGCCGGCATTGACCAGGTCCGAAGCTGAACTTGGTAATTCTTCTCTCATGAATAAATATTAATATTATTATTATATCTTGTGTAATTTTCTACTCTTCTTTTATTTTTACATACTGTGTGACAATATGCGAGCTCGCCCTTTGATTCTTCTCTTGCTGGATCTGGTCCCACAATCCCTTGCCGGCTTTGACCAGGTCCGAAGCTGAACTTGGTAATTCTTCTCTCATGAATAAATATTATTATTATTTCTTGTGCGATTTTCTTCTCTTCTTTTATTTTTACATACTGTGTGACAATATGCGAGCTCGCGCTTTGATTCTTCTCTTGCTGGATCTGGTCCCAGAATCCCTTGCCGGCTTTGACCAGGTCCGAAGCTGAACTTGGTAATTCTTCTCTCATGAATAAATATTATTATTATTATTATTTCTTGTGTAACTTTCTTCTCTTCTTTTATTTTTACATACTGTGTGACAAAATGCGAGCTCGCCCTTTGATTCTTCTCTTGCTGGATCTGGTCCCACAATCCCTTGCCGGCTTTGACCAGGTCCGAAGCTGAACTTGGTAATTCTTCTCTCATGAATAAATATTATTATTATTATTATATTAATTTGACCCTAATCTTGAATAATCTGCAGATAGTCCCCGATGCTGACTTTAAGCTCGGTTTCCCTTTTGGCCTTTGCCTCCAATATGAAATAGCAATAATCGTAACACGTGCTTGTCTCCAGTTATTGACAGGGTTTTTGTCTGCGGTCTGGTGGTTAGTTGGTTTAGTTGTGTATGTGCTTTATATTTAAATGAGTGTTTTGCGGGAATTTGCATATGTATCCTGACTGCTGTGTGTGTTTTTTTCCTTTATTTTTCATTGTTGTTTTGCGTGATATCTTTCAAGGACTCGTTTGATGTTTTATTACACCGCTGCCGGGTTCAGTCCCACAAGCCGCTATTGGCTTTTGACGGACCCGCATATGTATGTATTGTATCTATATTTGTGCAATAAACATTATATCTTGTGTAATTTTCTTCTCTTCTTTTATTTTTACATACTGTGTGACAATATGCGAGCTCGCCCTTTGATTCTTCTCTTGCTGGATCTGGTCCCACAATCCCTTGCCGGTTTTGACCAGATCCGAAGCTGAACATGGTACTTCTTCTCTCATGAATAAATATTATTATTATTATTATTTCTTGTGTAATTTTCTTCTCTTTTATTTTTACATACTGTGTGACAATATGCGAGCTCGCCCTTTGATTCTTCTCTTGCTGGATCTGGTCCCACAATCCCTTGCCGGCTTTGACCAGATCCGAAGCTGAACTTGGTAATTCTTCTCTCATGAATAAATATTATTAATATTATTATTTCTTGTGTAATTTTCTTCTCTTTTATTTTTACAGACTGCGTAACAATATGCGAGCTCGCCCTTTGATTCTTCTCTTGCTGGATCTGGTCCCACAATCCCTTGCCGGCTCTGACCAGGTCCGAAGCTGAACTTGGTAATTCTTCTCTCATGAATAATTATTATTATTATTATTATATCTTGTATAATTTTCTTCTCTTCTTTTATTTTTACATACTGTGTGACAATATGCGAGATCGCCCTTTGATACTTCTCTTGCTGGATCTGGTCCCACAATCCCTTGCCGGCTTTGACCAGATCCGAAGCTGAACATGGTAATTCTTCTCTCATGAATAAATATTATTATTATTATTATTTCTTGTGCAATTTTCTTCTCTTCTTTTATTTTTACAGACTGTGTGACAATATGCGAGCTCGCCCTTTGATTCTTCTCTTGCTGGATCTGGTCCCACAATCCCTTGCCGGCTTTGACCAGATCCGAAGCTGAACATGGTAATTCTTCTCTCATGAATAAATATTATATTATTATTATTTCTTGTGTAATTTTCTTCTCTTCTCTTATTTTTACATACTGTGTGACAATATGCGAGCTCCCCTTTGATTCTTCTCTTGCTGGATCTGGTCCCACAATCCCTTGTCGGCTTTGACCAGATCCGAAGCTGAACATGGTAATTCTTCTCTCATGAATAAATATTATTATTATTATTATTTCTTGTGCAATTTTCTTCTCTTTTTTTATTTTTACATACTGTGTGACAATATGCGAGCTCGCCCTTTGATTCTTTTCTTGCTGGATCTGGTCCCATAATCCCTTGCCGGCTTTGACCAGGTCCGAAGCTGAACTTGGTAATTCTTCTCTCATGAATAAATATTAATATTATTATTATTTCTTGTGTAATTTTCTTCTCTTCTTTTATTTTTACATACTGTGTGACAATATGCGAGCTCGCCCTTTGATTCTTCTCTTGCTGGATCTGGTCCCACAAGCCCTTGTCGGCTTTGACCAGGTCCGAAGCTGAACTTGGTAATTCTTCTCTCATGAATAAATATTATTATTATTATTATGATTTCTTGTATAATTTTCTTCTCTTCTTTTATTTTAACATACTGTGTGACAATATGCGAGCTCGCCCTTTGATACTTCTCTTGCTGGATCTGGTCCCACAATCCCTTGCCGGCATTGACCAGGTCCGAAGCTGAACTTGGTAATTCTTCTCTCATGAATAAATATTATTATTATCATTATATCTTATGTAATTTTCTTCTCTTCTTTTATTTTTACATACTGTGTGACAATATGCGAGCTCGCCCTTCGATTCTTCTCTTGTTGGATCTGGTCCCACAATCCCTTGCCGGCTTTGACCATGTCCGAAGCTGAACTTGGTCATTCTTCTCTCATGAATAAATAATAATAATAATAATAATAATAATAAATTTATTTAATAAAACTAGCATGTCCACGTCACAAGTCAGGTTCGTCAAAGCCATCCAGGGCTTGTATGACTGAACCTATCTGCAGTGGCCTCAAATATAACTATGCCACCTACTAAAAAAGTTTGAATCAGTTCCAATAACGTTTGTGACACTTATTACACTTAGACTCAAGGGAAAACACGTATACACACACCTACACATATGCACAAACACGCAAGCCGGTCATTGTTACCATTGAAGAAGGTCTTGATAGATGTTATGTTCTTGGTGTTGTGGTTCTTGAAGCAGAGAGACTGGGTGTTGTAAGTCGTGTTGATTTGCTCAAGCATAAACCAAATAAAATAAAAATAATAAAATCTGGTGTTCAACATTCTTTATAGAACTGAAAAGGAATTGTGAAATACAATTGTGACGGATTACAGGGCC